CCGAACGACGAGGATGACGATGGCAGCGGGGGACACGAAGTGATGTCTCGCGTCGATTTCGTAAGGAGGGGAAAAGGAAACCTCGCGGGGCATCTCATCCCCCAAGTTTCCCTCCCGCCGCTACCCCTTGGCTCCGCACGAAATTCAAATTTCTCGTTTCACGCGACCGAATGGGATTCTTCCCTTCTCCCGTGAGCGAGCACCTGCCCAAGTACGTGCCGCAGTCGTCGGAGTCGAGATCGATTCGCTTCGCGTCTCGCGGAAGGAAGGAGGGAGATGGGGAGAAGGATGGTGTGCTCGCGAATACGGAGATAAAAGCCGCTGTTTTTTCTTTCTCCCTTACCGCGGGCGAGATGCGACTGGATTGTCCGGACTGATTCGAGTGATGAAGATGAGCTTGATCTGAAGATGTAATTTCGACTCTAAGTTCGAGGGTTGCAGAGAGCGAGATTGTGGAAAATTTTATACAGAAAGCGAAACTTATTTGAGAATAGAGACACAGAGAGAGAGTTCTCAAAATTTTTGAAAATAACTCGAAATGAATAGGAAAATTCTAGAGAATTACTTTCAGAGAATGAAAATCTTGAAAATTAGCATCGTGTGTAATATGGAAAAATTTACTATGAAGAAAATGCGAGTCGAGTTTAGTAGAAATTATTCATGATACATAATTGACGAGAGTTATTTATTATCTACGATGTAATTAATGCACAAAAACATTGAAGGATGTATTTTTTTATACTTTATATTTTCTGGAAACTTTGAGGAAAGTTTGAGAGAATTCGAAGAAATCCTGAAAAGATTCAGAATTTGTCTAGAAATATACAGTGAATCTGTGTATGTATATAGAAAAACTTACAGGAAAAATTTCTTTCAAAATATTATAAATATTTCGAAGCAATTATATACAATTCAGTATAATAAATTAAGCAAATTTTGATTTACCAAAAATAGGAAACAAATGCGTGAAAATGTAAATGCTTCAAAGGCTTCAGATAAGATGAGATCATCAGTTTTAAATTAAGTCTTACTAATTTGAGATAGGAAAATATTGTCGAAGCGATAATACACATACACATATATTGCAAATACATCGATAACGATATATTAATAGATAACGTTATCTTTCGATGATGTTTATGTAGAATTAGCAAGAAAAACTGTTTTTATATAATAATTTATTATTTATAGTATATATAATGCATAAATAAATATGTAAAATAATATATAATCACTATCATATTACTATTAAAGTAAATTCTATATTTTTTAAGTTTTTTCTATATTTTTGTTTATATTAATTCCGTGATTATAATGCCATTATATGTGTACTAAATTTATAAATAAAGTATTAAATACAAAATTTATATGTATATACAATATATTTATATTAAAAACTATTTTAAAAATAAATATATATTTTTTAATATTATTTGATTATAAAATATTTGAATTTTCCTTTAAAACTCTAAAACATATTGAATATATCGTTAATATTACGTTCAACGATTTTATTTATGATAATAAAGACCATATTATATGATATCAGTCTCATATTTAATAAGTTAAGTGTTGGAGCAATTCAATCAATTAAACCTCTCCAGAGATTGCGAAAAATAAATAAAAAGTCCATTGCAAACGTATTCGATATTGAAAGCTTGGATAAAAAATAAATAAGTTCGCTTTTCCAATCGGCCAATTCATTCAAATAAATTATTTATCATTTAATGTCCAATAAATAATAAAAATTGCAGAATGAATTTAGTTTTGGTAATGTGTGAATATATGTCTAATGTGTTTTTGCAATTATTAAAATATATTATGAATAACGACGACAAATAAAAAGATATAAGAATAAAACTCAATATATTCATCAAAATAAAAAACAAATTACTTTTTCTTATATATTTCGAATATAATATAAAAGAACATATAACATAATTTTATATCTAATAATTTCTTCTAAAATATCTTGTTTTTACGACTTTTCAGTAATGTTTGACAAGTTAGTGATCTAGTTTCTCGTGTCTCCGGTTACATCTACATTCCAGATCGACGAAGCTCGCGACCAGGTATTTTTCACTTCAATCGTAAAGTGCACGATCGTGATCGCCGCGAGTTAAATTGGCGTAGACTTCTTCGCCGTAATTATAAATAGGATAGGAAAACGCGGAGAGGGGGGGGGGGGATCCAATATGTCGTGGATAGTGCCCGAAGCGGTCCCGAGGATGTTTCAGGAATATCGAGGACGTAATTATCCCGTAATTGCCGAGCGCGGTCTTAACTCTTGAGCAGCTCTACGTCTCGGCGGTTATCCGAGTGGGGATAGTCAGTGGTTGGCCTTGTGCGGTAATTGTACTAATTATTACAGCCCCTTTCCCCCTCGCCCGCGCCCCTGCCCCCATGCAACGCCGGTTTCCTCCCCCCGGCCGCCCAATTACCCCTGTTGGCCCGCGCGCGCGCGCGAGAGAGAGAGAGAGAGAGAGAGAGAGCGAGAATCCGGACTCGCGAAGATTTCAGAAAAAAACCTCGTTTCTTGGAAAAAAATCTTTGTTAGCGCCCGACAGATATGTCCGTCGTAAAATTAACGGTGGGAGGTTTCTTGGAAATCGTAATTAATTTATGGCTGCATAAATTAGGGGTAATCGACAATGAATTAATATAAGGCATGCGAGTATAAGACGGAGTATCGGTGTAGTGGCCCGTTAAATTTTGCGATGATTAAAAAAGAATTAAAAAAGCAATATGTGTAATTAACCTTCACAGAAAGCGTGTACAATGCTTTATTTTTCATAACATTAATTAATATAATAGTTTTATTTTTTTTTGAGATTTAAATCTTAAAAAATTGTCTGTTTGTAAAAAATTCGAGATTAATCTAATAAATTTTCTTTAAAGTTCCAATTGTGATAAATAAATAGTACTTTATTTATCATATTTCTTATACAAAATCAAACACAAAACAATGTAAACTTTATAACTTAATTTTTTATAGTTTAATTATATCAATAATAAGATCGATTTTTTTTTATCCATCATGATATGCAATAGATTCGATAACCTTTGAAAAATATGTTTAATAGATTAGTTTGCGCGCGCAATATTCCCATTTACAACCATACACACCTTCGTTTTCATATATATATATATATATTATCTCATTTGTTTCTATTTTATAAATATAACTTAAATAATTTTGTAGGCGTATATTTTATCTTTAATTAAATGTCACATTGACATAGCAATTTAATTAATATAATAGTTTTGTAATATATGCGAATAAATGCAAATTTAATATATTTACGTCGAATTAAAGAGCCACGGTATATCGTGGCGCGTTTCGTGACGCTTACGGTCCTGAGACCATTGACGTGACCCCAAGCGGCGACACGGAAAGCGGTGTCGCGCGCGGCGAGAGGTAAACATTGCCGCAGGCCGCGTGTAATCCTGTAACAGACAGAGCGGAGCGCGAGAGAGACAAAACACACATTCTCATCGAGATAACAACAATACCTATGCTTACGTGGCACTGTGCTTTACGCGCATCTCGCGTACGCTCCCTCTAATAGAAAAGAAAAAGAGAACCTTGCATCTCGCTCGCTCTCTGCGTCTGTCTCATTGTCAGCATCTCTCGTTAAAATTGACAGCGATACAAAAATGATCTGTCTCACTCACCCTACGCTTGTCGTACGCCGCCAGCCACTCGTCCGCCTTCCGTTTGTCGTAGAGCACCCTGGCGAGGTTGCCGTGTGGCCGGTAAGTCCGTATGGAACGACTCCCATCGTCTCCGCGTCCATCGACATTGCCGGTGATGACGCAGCAGGTGGTATCCTGACAACCGTAGGCGCACCTGACGATCTGGGGCTCATCCGCGCCCGCCGCCATGCTTACCGCGATTTAACGCGCACACACGTCCGAGCACGTCGACAGATCACTGCTACGGATACATGGCGATTAAGCGGCGATACCTCGCGACGTGAATCATCGGATCGACGATCCTAATCGCGACGTCAACGAGGCGCACAAACGTAAATCGGGCGCCTCGTCGTCACGTAAACACCGCACTTTCTCAACACGTGGCCATATTGCGACGGTGGCGCCGTGCTAGCAACGCTCGAAGCTAGCAACTCGTCCGAAGTTAGCCGGCAACTGACCGACCGATCGACCGACCGACCGACCGCGCGACGCGCCGTAATCGTGTGACGTCATCAGTTCGAAATGCGGTACGTCGACGCGTCGTAGGCGATGTTGACATATTTTGTTGCTCGTTCCTCGACGAATTTGCGTATGGATTTTGTTGATTGTTGTCAGTACGTGTGCCAGTATATGTGTGTGTGTGTGTGTGTGCGTCGATACAACGAGGGAATGAGTATTAACATCGACAACAGTCGGCAGAAGATGATCGCGATGTAAGGAGCGAAATTAAGTATGTTTCTTTCTCTCTCTCTCTCTCTCTCTCTCTCTCTCTCTCTCTCTCTCTCTCTCTCTCTCTCTCTCTCTCTCTCTCTCTCTCTTTCTCATTCATATTTCTACAAATTAACTACCGATAGTTGAACGAATATATGAGTGCACACTTACTATTACGAATAAAAAGTAGCTCTCTATTTACTCAAAAAATAAAGAAATATGACGATTGCCCTTTATAAAGTACATCTTTATTCAAAGCATCGAAATTTGAGAATCCGCTCTCTGAAGTTAATTATGGCGCTTTCAGTTGATCTTTGCGTTTTGTGGAACGTGATATAGATATTCATATATATCATTCCGAAAAAATATCGTAAGTCGAACATTTTAAACGCATGCGATGCGTTAATATGGCGTTTAAAATATTCTTTAGACCAATGCGTATGAATATTCTCTCTGTGCATCATATTTATTCCGCATATTTAAATGTTTCTCTCTCGTTACATTACATAAAACCGAGAAGTATATAAAACAATCAACGCCACGAACGAAATTAACAAAACATATACGGTGCTCCGAAACCATCACAAGCCTGGTTTTGCATATCTCTCGCATTTTTTTATCGGCCAACGTTCCTCCCCCGAAGGAAGTTACCGAGTTGGGCATGAAAGTTTTAGGCGGGATAAATATGGGACGGGGAAAGTACTCGGCGCACAGGTCCGATGAATATTTTAGACGCCATATTGACGCATCGCGCGCGATTCTCTCTCTCTCTCTCTCTCTTTCTCTCTTTCTCGCGTGCTCTCATCGCTCCGCTCGTTCGCACGCGCGCGCTGATAATTCATTAATTTATGATAAGCTCGGTCGGGCCGCCCACGGGCCACATCCTCTCCCTCTCCCACACGCCATAAATCATTTTCGCGTCTGACATTAATTGCGCGCCACCCCTCGTTACGAGGAGAAATGAGATTTTTTTAATTGGCGAATTTTTCACCGTCGCTGACACCCTGCCACCCGCTTCCGAATATTCCCCAGTTCTTCTTGTAATACGTATTGAAGAGAAAGAGATAGAGAGAGAGAGAGAGGGAGGTGGAAAAGAGAGAATGTGGCATGAGATATGCCGTGCATAATGACTTTCTTAAATTTGACAATGATACGCTGAAAAGGTCTTTTATATTTTGCGCGAACCAAAATATGTTTTATAGCGATTTTATACCGTGCATCTGTGATTAGATTAATTTAATATAAATTGATCATATATTTTCCTGTGTGTGCGTGTGTGTATTTTATTTTGTCCCCGTTATAATAACTACTAAATTATGAAGGAACAAATAAAGGATAAAAAGATAAAATCATACATATACAAATAGTACACGTTTTTAGGTAGTACATTAAATTAATTTTGATAAATAATGTCTTTAAAAACATAGACAGGAGTATAATTATAACACATCTATATTAAACTTAAACGTGATGTGAGAACGTTTTTAAATTTAGATTAAATTGCATCGTTCCTGACCTTGTCAAAGACTTGTTTGGGCTATGCTCGACATTTAACGTCTAAACAACGTGTGGCGCACGTGGCCTTGCAGAAAGCATCGCGTGCGATCGCCTTGCAATACATTCCTATGTCTCTTTCGACCGCCATAAAAAAATCGAGAATTCGAATATTTTCGGTAACAATCATGAGTTATCAATTTGTTTTTTTGACAGTCGTAATGTTATATACACGCACACACTCAATCCTTTATAATTTTTTATACCCGTTCATAATAAAATTAATAGCTAAAAATCGGTTTCTTCAATCTCTATTTCAGGAACAATAAAATATAATTGTACATATAAAAACAAAAATATTTTATTTAATATCTCTTTTCGTCATGAGAAATATTCTTTTGTCATGTGATTTTAATAGAATTACAATACATATAATATATAATGCATTATTTAAATATTGTTTACTTAAATTTTATTTTTTACAAGAAAAAATTACATAAATAATACAATAATTAATAATTCATTTGTAAATTATTATTTGAAAGATGTCAAATTTTTGATAACTGGTTGTTAAAAATAGTTAGCTAAGTGCATTATTAATCTTTAAGGCATTGACAAATGATAATTCTTTGTAAATATGCTAAATAATCGGCGCGCTACTCGTTATTCTTATAAGATTAATCGAAAGCGCTAAATTAACTTCGGAATAGATAGCGAATTTTATTGAATGCGAATGCTGTTGCTGGCCGACGTAGGTACGAGATTCCTCGTACGCGTAAAATATAAATCGCATTAGCAAGTCAAAGTACACCACTCTCCCGCAGAGTCCCATTTTGAGACATTCCTACCTACGTCCGGCGCTTCGGAAGGGCCTTAACTCGATAAGTCCCCTCGGTACCTGAAGTGAGCTCATAATCGTGAACGAAGCGCGCAACCGCTTATTACAACCGAGGGCATTGTAAATTTGCAGGGAAGAAGCGGAGAAGTGCAGAAGCGAGAGCGAGGATGAGAGCGGGAGAGATATGGAGAGGAGGAGCGAGTGAAGGAGGACGACAGGTAAGCTAAGAAAAGAGAGAAGAGAGAAAGGGAATGAGAAAGAGAGAATGAGCGAGGAAGGACAAGAGGGAAGAATGGGGGGAGGGGGGCAAGTCAGGGAAAAGAATAAGATGAGGGAGGCAAAGAGGAGTCGAAAGGACAAAGCGGCGCAAAACGTGCCCCTCAGGCATCTAAAGTCTTTCTTCAGCGTTGAAAATTTATCGTTCTACAAGCGCCGGCGAACAGAAAAATAGCGGGAAAGGAGTGGCAAGGGGGGGGGAAGAGAAGGGGAGAGGGGAGGGAGGGTAGGAAGACGAAGAGGAAGTGGGTGCCGAGAGGAGATATACGGACAGGCGCGTTTTGTTCCATTTATCCGGGCAAATCTAGATTTTACACCGAAAGCCGGTGTTTAAGATAATGAGAACATTTCTCTTTCTTTTTCAAGCTCCGGGCATAATTAACGGTACGCGTGTGGAAAACGCTAATTAATCCCCATACGAAGATGCAAGACGTTATTAGAAAAGGGCGCGCGCGTATGCGTAAACGTGTGTGTATATACGCTTGATGATTAATCGTGCCTATAATTATGCAGTTGAAACTCGCGTCTCTTGTGCGTGGTATAAGTGCGTATATAAGTCGATGTCGGCGCGATAATCCAAAAGCGGGAAAACGGTTTTAAATTCCAGGCACATGTTTCGAGAAATAATTTAATTACGCTGGGATATAACGATAGTAAAGTGACGACGATAATTTGACGTTTAATGCGTAGTGAAGCGACTTATATTCCAACCGAAGACGTTTTTCTTTAGGAGTGCCTATCGAAAGAGAATCTCTAAATGGAGACGCTACGATGTAGCTTGTACTCGTAAGGTGGGCTTTGATGTCCGTCTGCGTTAATTCACGATAACAATCATAGGATTGTTGGGGAGAGTATGCTTATACGTCACGCGTTTATCTTGAGATATACGCAGATTAATGAATCTCGTTTTCTCTCTCATGATCTTTCTCTCATAATAATATTTAATGAATTTATCAGATTTTTATTTATCATTTCGGTATTTCTTGGCTATTACAATACAATTGGGGCTAGATTGAAAGCCTTTATTATTATCATCTTGATTATTATCATAGAACACAATTTGCCTGGTGCCTCGATTAAAAAAAAAATTAGAAAGAAATATATATCTTGAATTTATAAAATAAGAATAATAATACTACGTTATCTTTAAAAAATTGCAATTTATGCAATTAAATTTAATCTTAATAAGTTGTAATTAGATACAAATTATATAAAATAAAATTTTATGTAGTAATTTAATAATGCTAATGTTAGTGTAATAAAATAATTTATATACACAAATATAAAATCATTGCATTAGACAATTAAGAATTGATTATTATGCTAATTCGTATACTGAAAGTATTACATATCGTTCTATAATTATATAATATATATCTAGGGTAAAATAATGCACACATAAAAAAACTTTACAAATATTCACCCTATTGCTTGAAATTATCTTGTTCTTGCTTTATGAAATTTTTGATTAATTAATTTATACATCTACGATTTCTAAATCCTTACAAACATAATTCTTCTCGATTTGTGCTATATTTTTATTTCATATATTTTCTCACTGCAATATCATCTCTCAGAATCAATTAAACATATTCGCGCAATCACCTCGGATCGGTAAGTGTTTCTCCGAGAAGCGCACAGTCTCTTTGTTTCTCTTCCTTCGCGAGTTGCATCTCACGTCCTAACCGAGTCCGAGTCTGCGGCTGATTACAGGGGAAAAGGCACCGAAAAGAGATCCACGCACCGCGATCCCCGCTGTTTCTCTCGCCATGCCGCGCCGTGTGGCTCGTTCTTCTTATATCCCTCGTAATAATAATTACCGAGGCGCGCGTGCACGCGACGAAGAGAGTCGAGAGGCTGGTGCGCGAGAGGCGCCTAAACGACTCTGCGGCGGAGACGCGCGTGTGGAGTTCACGCGTGCGGAGTGATGTATGCCCCGTGTGTGCGGCGGGATGCGTAAGACGGGTAGCCTATACGTCTTACATGCCCGGAGGCATCCCAAAGTCGAGTCCCTCGGCTTGTGCCGTCGTCGCACACGCACGCACGCGCGTACGTGCGTGTATACGGGATGTAC